CATTCGGTGGAGAATGGAATGATAGTGAAAAAGATTATGTCGGCGGTCGTACGAGGGGATTGACAGTGGATAGTACAATCACGTACAGAGAATTTATAGGTCACGTGTATAGATTGAGTAACATTAACCCCCTACAGTTTGATATTATAATTAGACGCGTGTATCATTTTAAAACCAAAGTTTGTGTGATGGAAATAACTGATGACGATGACTTGCGTTTTTTTTTACTGGTGAGGATGTATCTGAATTGCCTATATATATATATCTAATGTGCCAAAGCAGGTACATGGGAATGAAATGTACATGCTTTCTTTCCCATATTATTTAGGCCAAAACGTGTCCTCGATTCCTATGTCTGCAGCTTGTATTCCCCCATTCTAGAGACCCACATATCCTATACCCTCATTTCCTTCCTCATCATCGAACCCCTTTTCTTCCCGACAGCCACACCCCTCGTACGGGCATATAGGTCATGATGTAAAGGGTTTAACACCATTGGGGTCAGATGTTGTTCCATGTAAACTAGGAGATGATAGGGTGTGTGATTGGGATGTGCCGGGAGTATGGAATGATAACGAAGATGAAAGTGGTGAATCATATGACCCGTTGGTAGAGTCTGAAGAAGGACACTCTCAAGCAGAATATGGGAACGAAGAGCATGACGATGCGCTTGATGATGAGCTTGAGCCTGATGTCGAACAAGTGCACACTGAGATTCGCATGGATGAAGAAAGCGGTCCGGCCACCGGGATGTAATGGTCTCACCGGAGACCCTAATGATGAGAAATTGCAACTCATAGTACAGTCTTCTGGGACAAATGATGTTAATGAGAGCGATGTATTTGATAATAAGAAGGAGTTGAGTTTGAAAATGCATTTAGTTGCAATGCGGAAGAATTTTCAGTTTAAAGTAAAGAAGTCGACGTCGGAGCTATATATACTGCGGTGCGTTCATGCTGATTGCACGTGGAGACTTCGAGCTACCAAGCTAAAGGAATGCACTTTGTTCAAGATAAAAAAATATTGTGCTGCCCATAYGTGCTATGGTGGAGCTTTAAAACATGATCATAGGCAAGCCAAAAGTTGGGTGGTAGGACATCTTGTGCAAGAGAAGTTCACAGACGTCTCCCGCACGTATAGACCGAAGGACATTATACAAGACATGAGAAAGGAGTATGGTGTCAATTTAAGTTATGATAGAGCATGGCGTTCTAGTGAAGAAGCACTCCGGCTTATTAGAGGTGATCCAGCATCGTCATATGGTCTACTTCCAACTTATGGTAAAGCTTTGAAAATCATGAACTCAGGTACTATTTTCCAATTAGAACTAGAAGGTGACAAATATTTCAAATATGTATTTATGACATTGGGTCAATCGATTTGAGGTAATCTTGGTTGTATTAGACCAGTGTTGGTTGTTGACGGGTCCCACCTAAAGGGGAAGTTCAGAGGGGTATTGTTATCAGCTTCTGGTGTCGATACGAATAATCAGATTTACCCGGTAGCATTTGCGATTGTCGACGGTGAGACGGTAGCATCATGGGTGTGGTTTATGACTCAAATAAAACGTGCGCTCGCTGGAGTTGATAATTTGGTTTTCGTTTCTGATAGACATCAAACCATTTGCAAGGCAATCGACAAGGTATTTCCTGCTGCATTTCATTGCTTTTGTATACAGCATATCAAGGTCAACTTGATAGCAAAATTTAAAAACGATGCGAAGGCAGTTGAGGAACTATTTTTAAAGGCTGCAAAGGCGTATCCGAGTCATATTTCAACTCGATCTGGGCCCAACTTCGTGCATACCCCGGTGTACGGGAATATTTAGACGATATTGGGAAGGAGCATTRGGCTCGTTGTTTCCAAACTCAATTGAGGTACACACAGATGACTACAAATATCGCAGAGTCTGTAAATGCCCTCTTCAGGCACGCCCGTAAGTTGCCGGTTACCGCCTTACTTGACCACATTAGAGGTAAGTTACAGAATT